TCCACTTAAAAACATCCATTGACTTCAGTAGAAATACCCTCTTCTCCCATTACATTGCATGAGCCAGGCCCAAGCCTTCAGTAAGCTCAATGAAGCTCTGCTGACTTGTATTATTTGAAAATGTGGGCCTTTGTGCATGACTGGGACATACATTATTTTTTTAATAGCACAGAAATAATTTAAATTATTCCTCATTCTCTTTTCACTTGCTCTGCTCAATTTAATTTTCCCAGCCTGTTCCCCTGCCGTTCTGACATGATCTCAGAGACTCATGGATTATGGTGGCTTCAGTGAGGAATCAAACAGACATTGGTAAGAAATACAGACCCAATATCTTTTGAATTTTTGTATCTTAAGTCCCCACATACATGGTTTGTAGCTCAGGCTGATAAACTTCAGAAACTTAACGTACGCTAAAATGAGGAAGTCTAAAAAACATGAAAAATAGAATTATGTGTGGAAATTAAAGGGCTCTTCAGATCAACCATGAGGCGCTAAGAGGGAAGTTTAGTTATAGGTTTGAACAGCCTATAGGATGTGGTAAGGCATTTTATATTTTCGGAAGGAAATGTGGATAGCAGCATATCTGGTTTCTGAGAGAGCTTGAGATTTTCCAGGAGTGGAATTGCGTAAGCACAATGAAAGCTGAGAGACGGACAGCTACACTGGAGACCACAGTAGATGCTATTTTGAGGCGCCAGCCAATGTCATAGAGTTTATAAGCGTCGCCTGTCAGAAATAATAATAAGGAAACGCTTTACATCTAAATTGCTATGGGAAACTCCCAGTATTCTTCAGATTTCATCTCCTAACAGTTTCTCAACCTGGACCTGATTCAAGACCTTTGAAGTTCCTGTGTCTGTATTTCAAAGGAAATGAGCTGGGACCTGGGACAGATAGCAAGATCTAGAGCCAGTCTTCTGAAACACCGAGCTCCCACAAATCCCTGTGAAATCAGCTTCTGCAGAGCCAGCCCCCGCCCCAGTCTTCTTCTCCCCCTGCTCGTGCTTTTAATGGGAGTTTAGGAGTCAAAGTTTTGGGCCCTCTGCTTATTTCTGCCCTCATGTTGTTGCTTATTGATTTACCCAGACCAGGTCAGATCCCATCTCATCTATGTCAACAGCCCACTTAAAACGTCCTTTGCAGGTTCGACAAAACTGTGCTTGCAGTCTCCAGGTGAAAACAGGCTAGAAGAAAGGACAGGGCTGGGACACCGGTCGAAGGCAGAGCCCAGGGGAGCAGAGCCTGTTGTTGCTGCTGCTGCCACAGCATGGACCAACAACTGGTGCTTTTGTTCTCACCGCACTAGCTGCTGCCTCCCCACAGACCCCATCGCTCTCTCAGCAGCAGCAACAGCCAGCCTGCTTCCAGGTTTGGAAGGGTGGAAAGTAGACAACAGGGCTGTGACTAATTTTGCTAGGCCAAGCACTTGGCTGCTCTGGGAAATTCATCGTTTTGTTTATGCTTGATCTCGTTCTGTTTGGACGCAAGAAGTCGATGGAGTACGGAACTTGGCCTTTATTGCCCTAGTTACTCAGCTGTGGTTCAGCATTACCTAATCTAAGTTTTCAGGCGTCCTGTGCCAAAGCAGTCCAGCTAAGACCAAGTTGTTCCTAAACATCTCAGGTCAAACACCAAAAATCACTAGTTATGAATACTGAAAATCTGTTTTTGTCCAAAGCACGTATTTTTTCCTTTGTTGCTTTCCTAGAGTATTTCAGTAAGGGTCCTAGAAAATGCCTCACACATTTGTATTTTTAACTGCTACATAAGCCAGCTTGCTGTGTTCCTCAAAAACTTTTTCAGGAAGGCAGAACAAGACAGCCATTGCACCAGGACTATGTCGTTAAGAAGAATCCCCTCTTTTTGAGAAGAGACCTGAGCATTGCCTAGAAAAGGAAACTGGGAGAGGAGTGCCAGCTTTTGCTTTTCTCTTACTCTTTCTTTTTTCCCTTATTCTGGAGTGTCTATTTAGAAAATTTCTTTGCATAATTCTTTACAAACAGACTTCAACTTTCATTTGCTTGCACCAGCGATGGAAAAGCAGCAGATAGATGGAGGGGATTGCAAGGCGCCTGGTTTGCATCATGCAGAACCACCAGAGGTCAGACTTAAACTCCTATTCCTTTCTAACGCTGAGCAGTTTAATTCACGCTGACTTCTATCATTGGAACAGAAAGTGCAAAAGGCTTACAGGACATTTACTGCATTCCTTCTGTTCCTGGGAAACTGCATTCTTCCAGAGTATGTTCTAGCTCTTTGTGTTATACACAAAGGCCTCTGGTTTTGCCTCATGCTTTTTGGGAGCTGATGGGACTGTCACAAATGGTTTGAAGGCTTTCCTGATAATCAGCCTGGAATTACCCTTTCTTTTCATCTCATCACTCAAATCATATATCTCTTGTGACATCTCAAGTATGAGCATAACAAAGAGTATATTTTTGAAGGGGAAGAATTTGGCTTGCACAAATTAACTCGGACAAGTTACATGTGGCTTGGACAAGAACTGGCCAATTTTCACAACACTAATGACCCTCTTTCAACAGGTGATTTTCAGGGCAAGCCTGCAGAGAGGTTAGGTGCTTGCTCCTGTAGAACTGTGAATGCCTAGATGATGAAGTGAGTAACGCAGCCTCCAACAGTGCAAGAAATAAAGGGTTGTAAATTCTGAGCCTCTCCAGACAACCTCACTTCTCCCTCAGCTTTCTCCTCTCCATTGTGCTGTGTGATGGGAATGGCAGTATTGCTGCTGCAAAGCACCAGGGACCATCCCACTTGTAGCCCACAGACTGGATCTGGCCTACAGGACAATTTGTGCCTTGCACAGGGATAGGTGAGGTGGGACAGTGTAGGAAGTCTTATAGCTATTGAATACCTTTTAATTCCTTGTGCTTCTAGGTGCTTTGGCCCATTAGACACTCCCATGTTCATGTGGAAGGAGGAAGTTGCCACAACAGGAATCTGGCCTGTGGTGGTAGAAAAAGCTGGCCAACATACTGTGCAAGTTCAGCACCTCCGTCTTGTGGGTGCACCACACAGCACCACTGTGTTTGACCATAGCCAAAGATGCTGAGCAGATGGGGGTGAAACTTGTGCAGGGTGGGTCAAAACCCATTTTTGGGAGAATGGCAGACAAAGGGGCACAACAGATGTAGCACAGAAAATAGAACTTAGAGCAACAAAAGCCAGAGGCTTGTCGATTGTCAGGGTTAAAGTTTGAGCAGCAAAATGTTGCCTGTGGCTGTGGTGTGGTCGTAGGCTGGGGATTACGTGCTCCGAGTCTGTAGACATAAGATGGATAGAGGAAAACTGGCAGCAGGACAGACTTTCTTCTGCCATATTAGGTCAGCATGCTTCATCCTTGACTACAAAGGATGCCTGAGGAGTAACAGGATAGTTCACACACCCAGCCTGCTCAGTCTTTAATTGCCCAGCTGACTGGCAGTCAAAACAACCAGTGCCATTGAGAGCTGCTTGTGACTGTCCTGGATGGGCTCAGATCTGGTAGGAACTAAAATTAGTCTATAAGATCATACCACATAGACTGCAAAATGTATTTGATGACTTTCGATGGATGTGAGCGAGTAATTTGGAGGTAATTTACTTGGTACTCCTTTTACCAATCATGGGTCTTGGGCATCGTAATCTAATTTTAAAGTAGTAGTGAGGACTGTGCCAATATACTGCTTCGCTCCTCTTGTGTCTTGGTGTCAGCCAGGAGGCAGTAGGACTGGTAATGACTAAATCCTGACTTTCTCAGTATCACACTTGCAAAGAACTGTAATATCTAACCTTTAAATGCTCCATATACAAGCTAGACCACAGAAACCAGCTGGAGTTCCAGCTACTCTCATGTTATCTCCAGACCACCTCATTAGCCTTGTGACTTGTTAAACACAATTCTGTCAAACTTTGTTCTCCAGCCTGCCATTGTTCGGATACTAACTAAACAAACTCCCACTAGCTCCCTTGGGGATCATTACATCTCTCTGCATTTATGCTGTGGCAGCAAAAGTTTAGGCTTGGATTGTAATCATAAAGAAATTAACTTCCTGATTAAAAATGGTCCTTTAAGCAACACGCATTTGAATAATCCATCATAAAAACAAATGAGTCTGTAGCAGTGCTTTTGACTTGATAATCTTTTTTCTGCTTAAAATTTAAATCAGTTGCATTTTTTTCTCTCAGTCTGTAGCCTATAGAAAAATACAATGAATTACTAAAAAGAAAGCAATAGTTCGAACCGCAATAGCCATGGTGTGGAATATATATTTTAGATCTGTCACCACAAGATAGATTTGTACATCATGGACCTAATTTTTGGCTGAGATACCCTCCAGGCAATTCCATTGATGTTAGTTGTGTTACACAAAAAGTAAGTTAATGCAGAAAATTTGGTTTCAGATGTTTGCAGAGTGTTTTGAAGATAAAAGAACTGCACATGCCAGAGCTGATCTACTTCTTGTTGAAATCTGTAGTGAAGGTCCTGTTTAATGCAACAGGAGCTGCTGGATCAGGTCTGATGAATGCAGCAGAGCTGTGTTTACAAGTAAGCATTTGGAAATAATGACAGTTCAGTAATTTTAAATATTTCATATCTCTCCCTACCTATACGTGCAAAGTGAACCATTAACAGTTCATGATAGGTGCCTACTTTTAAACAAAGTCACTCAATTTATGGCTGCTAGCTGTACTGGTTGTGTGATGAACACAAGAAGTAAGAGAAGATTCATGTAGCTGGAGAAAGATGCAAAAGTACACCTCTAACTTAAATGAGACTATGTGGCACCGTTCCTGAAACTAAAGAAAGGCAAATTAAAATCTCCTTGCTTCATCACTTTCCCCCATCACAGTTCCACGCTTCTGGATATTTGTACAGTCCGCGATAATTCACATCTTTCATTCCCAGCCCACGCCGCAAGCCGTGCCACATGTCTCTATTTTTAAAAATCATCCTTTATCAGTACTGGTCTCAGCATTAGCAACCTGATATTCCTCACCTTTTGGTCCAGGTAAAATTGTGTGTGTCGAGCAGACATCTGTCGTAGGTCGATTGTCAACATCAAAACCAAAAATCTGAACTTGGAAGATGAAAAGCACTACTAGGGTCCCGTATTTCCTTAGCTGTTGTTCTTTCTTGCTGCTCATCCTTACAGCTTCTCAGGAAATGCCTTTCGTTGTTACAGTCTTAACAAATGCAGCTGATTCAAAAATAAATGCTCCACTAACTGAAGCAGTGCAAAGATTGGGAGCTACATGCAAGAACAGCTAAATAAAGTGAAGAAAGGAGTTTGACGATGCTGTAGTTATTTCTGTCCTGCACATTATCCAGGATATTTATTTAACACTGACAGCTGTTTATTCCAATTTATCTCTTATCTGTGAGATGTTTAGCTGCTTTTGCCATGGAAAATTTCTTCAGTATATGGGGATATCTCTTTTGTAATTTTTTTCTTCCTTTTGACACTGACTCTTCATGCCCAGCTTTTCACTTACTCAAGAGACAAAAGACTTCGGTATTGTATCCAAGTGAGTACTAATTAGTTATAGGACACTTGTGTCTGGTTTTGTGCTGAAAGAGTAACGCAGACTCCATGTAACATGTAGGGAGACTTTTTTCCACAAAAGTTTTCCTCCAAGGAGACCATTAGTGACAATGCACAAAGCTGCAGGTCTGCTGTGGGTGGAAGTCACTGGTGCTATTTCACACCTTTTGGGTGCCATGTACCCATAGCCCCCAGAGTAGCAAATGAAAAGTTGATGTTATCAATGGGTGTTTGAGCCAGAAACCCACAAATGATGGTTTTATGCTTACAGATTGTTCCAGAATGGTTCCTCCAAGCCCAGATTATGTTGGCAGACGCAGTACAGGACAGACTTCAGGACCAAAGCCACAGAGTAGAATGAGTTTGAATGACTGCGGTACCTCCTCCCATACCACCTTTCTCCTCTACTTGCTAACTGGGAGAGACCATGTATCAGGACAGTGGTATAGCACAGGTCCCAGCAGAACGTCATCTTTCGGTTGTCCAGGAAGCTGCTGCTCGTTCAAATCCACATGAGGTAGCTGTCAGATTTTCAACTGGGTGTTGGGACTTTGACACCAGGTGTAGGAGACCTCCTGGATGGGGGAAGAGATAGCATGCAAAACCACTATATGTCCTTTTGGATGGAGCTGTGACAATCTGTCCATGTGCAATCCTTTCCTAGAAAAAAACCTCTAGCTTTTTCTTAGGGAGGACACTGTAACCAGGGACAGCAGACTGTTAGAGGTAGCCTGGCAGCAAAGAAAGGGAACATGAGCATTTGTAATCTTTCCAGGAATTTTGTTAACTTCCGGTTTCTTACACAATGAAGGACACAGCTACTCAAAAAGCTAAACTATGCTTTTGAACTGCCTAGTGTGTGAGAGCACATTTGCTTTCCATTCTAGGCAAAAAATGTATTTCCTATGATAATAGATTTTGAGATGCTTTCCTCATTATTTAAGAGAGTTCTAGTTCCTTAGCCCTACAACGTTTCAGCCTTTTGGTAGACAGAAAATGTAGCAACGCTGATGTAAAAATGAGTACCTTTTCTTAAAGGCTGAAGGAAGGCTTTGATTTCAAGCTTTCATGTAGGATGAAATGTTGGCCAAAGTCCCAAGAGGGGTCAATACAGTCCTCTCCCTCTTTCTTTCTATCCTGGTCACAGACTGTCCCACTTTTCAAAACACTTTTCTTTTTTGTTAAACTATATGCAGTAGTTTTCAGAAATAAATAGTGGTCTCTGTCCTAAAGAATGTCATGTAACAAACACCCTCAAATGTGGCCTTAATAACAGATACACCACAGCTAGAGGGGGAGGAAAGAGAAAGCCAGGATTATAGATGGATAGAGTTGTACCAGGAATAAACTTGTTCCTCTGTGATTTGCGTTGGGCACTGTGCCTCTGACTTGTACACTGTAAATCTGTTTTATTTATCTTTTTCTTCTCTTCACTTTCCATTTTGTGAGCAGAAGGTCAACGTAAGAGCAAGAATAGCGAGCGTAGGAGTGGGAAGCTAGTGTACTTAGCTTTGGAGGAGGCATTTTGGGAAATGTTGCCAAACTGACGTGAATGATGCTATCTGTTCCACAGTACTGAGAGACTTACAGTGACTTCTTTGTTATTTATCAGGGATAAAGAGGGATAAGTCTAAGTGAGAGAGGAAACAGTTTAACCAGTTCAGTCACTGACCAGGACTAAGCAGGGAACATTTTTCTGATGCTACAATTGCTGTAATCATTTTCAAATGTTCTCATTCCACATTAGAAAAGGAATCAAGACCCTACTTTTTCTTTTTTCCTCCATGAAAGTCACAAAACCCCTAAACACACCGAGAGAAATGAAGCTTAATATATCCAAGAGCTTGGTAATGAAGGCACTTACTTAAAATGTAGGAGATCCAGATTCAAATTCTTTCTCTGCCTAATTCAAACCAGTGTTTGCACTAGAGCCTTAAGATTATATTGCCTTATTACAAGGCTGTTTGCTAATCAGTTATGTCTTCCCGTATGTTGGACCAGAAATCCTGTCCTGGAGCTAGGAAACCGGCCTTAACAGGCAGTCCATCAAAACTGATATACTAGCATGAAAAGCTTGGGTTTTGGCAATTAGGTATTTATCAAACCAGTTTCATTGAAATATCTTCAAGCAGCTTCATTGGTGATGGAGATTTAATGAGGCACATTGCCTGTTGTGCATGTTAATTCTTATTGAATCAGGCTTAGAGAAATGTCTGTAGGCAAGAGAGAAAAAACAAACTAAGCAGTATTGTCCAGACGTAAAAGTAATAAAGCAAGCATTTGCTATTACAAGGAAACCCTGAGAAGACACAAAAGAAAATCCTGAAAGATTCTGTTGCTTTGAGTTGAGCAGTAGTCAGGTAACCTTTGTGTAGTGCATTGCCTCTGTGGAGTCCAAGTACTTCCTTGGTAATTTGTATTACCTTCACTTCCTTATTCTTCAGATGTTAGTAGTTAAATGTCAATAGACTATAAGGAGTACAGACAACATCCTGAAATAGTGCTTGTCAAAAGGTGGCCAGATCTACAGCCAATTTTAATAATTTGTAGAGTCCCAGATCCTGTGGTTGGACTCCAAGCTAATACATCCTGCCTATTACCATGGGCTGATTCAGCCACAAGGACTGAGAGTCCGCTGACATCCTTTCTAACCCAAATTTAGTATTAAGGAGAACTTTCCTCTTCTGTACCTTACTATACTGAATAAACCTGGGGGCATCTGATGTAAAAGAAAAAAAGTACAATATATCTCTGCTTTGGGATCCTGGATGGTTTCAGTTCTCCTGGTATCAGAGGTCATGACGATTTGGAGTGTTTCAGCCTTTCGTACTGGATACATCAATCGTGGTGGCAAAGCTTAGAGAGAATGGAAGAGGAAAAGCAGTAATGTGGTTTGCCAAGTGTAGAGAAGAAAGTAACTCTAGGGCTATTTTGTAAAACATCATTTTTGTTTTGGTCACCACGCAACGACTACTTGAGCCTGTAAACACAGTCTCCATCAGTTTTTGTTCCTCTGAGTAAGATATAAACAATGACTAGACCTTGATATGCCTGAGTAACTGACAAAAAGAACTAAGCTAAGGTCAAAATTCTCAAAAATCTCCTTGCTTCTATGTTCAGTAAACAGAGCTTGTAGGACTAATGATTTTAGGTAATTCTTGTTGGATATTTGAGGGACTTCATCAGCCTCAGCAGTGTAGAAATATATGTTCCCCTATCAACTATGATCTCCCTGGTTTCCTGCTAGTGAGTTTGACTCTCTGTTGAGCTGGGTACCTTGAGGGATGGGCGTGAGCATTCCCTGGTCTGACACAGGGATGGCACTCTAGGAGAACCTTAGGTCTCCTTTAGAGCTTACAACCCCTTCTTGGCATACTCCTACCTCTCCTTTCCTACTCCTAGCCTCTCAGCTTTTAGTGCTTAAACAGAAGAGCTGACCCAGATTCCAGCTGGAAGTGTCTGCTGCGAGGCAGGAGGGATTTGGAGACAGCTGGTGCCCAGGGAGCAGAACGGCTCCAAAATCTCAGAAGGAGCTTGGGCTGCAGACCACAGAGTCAGAGAGCTGCTGGACGCTTTATGAGGTGCAGTATTGAACCCTGTCCCCGTTTTTTAAACAGACCTCAATTGTGTGTAACTTCTGCTCACTCAGGTGGCACTGCATTACAACTTTGCATTTCTAACTTTTGCACTTTGCAAGAATTTACCAGCTCACAGTGAATGTGTTATAAGCACTTTTATTGTGACCACTTTCATTGAGAATACTTCTCTGACAGTTAGCCTGTAGGGTTTCAGTTCTACTGAAGATGCCTTTGACTTTACTCATATGGCATCAGCCTTCCCGAGAGGCCTGAGACAGATACCTATGGCTATTGTGTTCCATGCAATCGCTTGGAGAAGCTGTCCAAAAAAGTAAGGCATTCACATATGCATTCAGAGATGTGATAGAAAGTGAAATACTCAGTGTGGTTTGTAATTGTGTTTATCTAAGTGCAGCCTCTTCCTGTGTCAGAACAGATTTTTGCAAACAAGAGGGCAATGATTCAGTTCCAGGGGAAGACTGACAAAATAAACCCCGGCTTTTGCTGACCTGATGCAGTGCTGAACAGTGTCCTACCCTGGGAAAATATTTCCTGCTTCATTTTCATAAATATTTATGTAATTCCTTCTGGGAAACATGTCTTCTTCAGAAAAATGAACATGCTGCTCCCTGACACAAATTTAACTGTTTGTTTACACATCAGAGATTACGGGCATGTACCCAGCCTTGGATTTTTACATTCTTATCTCAGGCAATTCTGTCTTTTAGAGTTCTCCTTCGCTCTCCTCCTAGAGATAGCATCATGTCTTGAGCCACGGAGCTTAGTTCTGGCTCTGGAATTTGAACATCCCCAATGCTCTTTGGAGTGCTGTTATTCTGGGCTGCAGAAATAGGGACCAAACGTAATGTTCTGCTTGGAATCACACTTCTGTCCTGCCCAGTTATGCCCATTCTGGTTTGAAGTGCTTCTCTTAAAAAAAAAAAAAAAAGATCATGTAAGCAATTAAACAGAGGATTACATGGTTAATGAAAGTATTTATATTTAGAAACAAACCTAAACACGCTGCTGTGAACTGAAATAGAACTGGAGTGCAGTCTTCTGAGTTTGCTTTCTGAGTTTATGGTAAGGATTAGTTTCAAAGTTGTGCACAAGTTGCCCCAAGAGAACGGGTATAGTCCCCACCACAACAAACCGAAAAAGGTTGATCCTGCTCTCTTTTAACATTTTTTAAGAGAACAGAAAAGTCACTGACCTTGAAGTATGGACTGACAGATCCTTGTACGAAGCCTTGTATTAGTGCAAAGCTGAGCTTTGCTTGCCAACATGCTCACAAACCTTCCATGAAATGGTGAACTTCGTGGGG